TTTCTGATGATTCAGTTTATACAAAGTTTGTCTTGTGTGCCAAACTATTCAAAATGTTGTGTATACCTCCAGGCTATATGTATATAGTGTATATGAAACATAAATAATTTCATGCTTAGACCTGGGTCCCATCTCCCAAGATATGTCATTATATATATGCAAGTGTTTCAAAATCTGAGATATGGAATACTCAACCTCACTTTTTGATGCTTTTGGGGGGAAACAGGAAAAATATCCCATATTTTCCAGTGTTAACAGTGTTTCCCTCTGGTTTTTCACATATCTGCTCTAATGAGAGCATGTTTGATTAATGTGAGCCAGCATTATGTAGTGTCTTGAGCATTGAACTATGACTCTAAAGACCTGACTTCTCAGTCATCGAAACTCACAGTCTCACTTTCTCAGCTTGAGAGGACAACCAAGTGAAAGCCCACTCTGAATAAATCTTGCTAAGAAAATCTGGTGATAGGTTTGCTTTAGTGTCACCATTAAGTCAGAATTGACTTGAAAGTACTCATCAACAAACAGCCTTAAAATTGACAGCATAAGGTTTGCAGTGTGGGAATGCAGCCAGCAGAGTTACTTTACTCAACCCTCTTGCCCTAACATGTCTTTGTTATTGGAGCAACAGGCTTCTCTAGCTCCAACAAAGCTTTACTTGTACCTACTTACCTACATCTAACACAGAGAAGCTCACACCCTTTTAAAATACTTGATTCAAAATCCAGACGTATTCTGATGTCATTAGAGCAAAGACATTTTGGATAATTCAGATGTTAGGGCCTTCTTTCCATGTTGTTTCTAAGGAAAGCTTTAGCTGGCAATGTTCACGAGAAGGTATGGATGTTTTTTTTTATTGTAACTCTTCACACAACCATAGAACTGACTGGATTTGGATAAAGCTCATTTTGAGATGCAGTAGTCATATGACTTCTTTCCCATGCCTTCAGTTTATTATGCAACTATTTTTTTCAGTCTGTTACTCAGCCTATATCTGAAAGAGGAGCTTGAAAAATCTGGTTGCATGTATATGGTGAGCAAGAAATCACAAAACCGCTTAGTGTCTTTCCAAAATGTGATGAGATTGCTTGGGCTGTGCAGCTGTCAAGCCGACATTGTGTGAAATGGCCATCAGAGAAAGCAGAAAGGTCACAGTAGCTGGCATAGGATAGTGGCTAACGGGAATGCTTTCTGAGCTGAAAATGGCATGACCAAAATGACTGTATGTAAATGAATACTTAATGTATGTAAATGAATACTTAAGAGTGCCTGTACAAATACACTTATTTCCTTCATATATTTAATTCTCACATTTTTGTATCCCTCCCACCTAAATATTCTTTAATTCATGATGCTTTCCCTATATCAGTTTATGTCAGTGTACATGTACCGTGGCAACTGGAAATAATTCCTTTTGTAAGGCATATGAATATTGCACATTCCTGAATTTACACTGAGCGGAACTTGTAAAAGGTGCTCTCTTTTGGACTAAAATTCTCAGAATACCACTGTCAGAATGACCAGACTTGTGTGCACTGGCTCCTCCTCCTCTTCCCAGTCTTCGTCTCCCTATTCTTCCTTTTTCTTCAACACTTCCTCCTCTTCTTCCTCCCTGGTTTCTCCCAAAATTGGGACACAAGATGGCTCTTTTGTGTGTGTGTGTGTCAGGAGTGACTTGAGAAACTGCAAGTCGCTTCTGGTGTGAGAGAATTCGCTGTCTGCAAGGATGTTGCCCAGGGGATGCCCAGATGTTTTGATGTTTTATCATCCTTGTGGGAGGCTTCTCTCATATCCCCACTTGGGGAGCTGGAGCTGACAGCGGAAGCTTATCTGCGCTCTCCCCAGATTCAAACCTGCAGCCTGTCGGTCTTCAGTCCTGCCAGCACAAGAGTTTAACCTACTGCGCCACCGGGGTTTAAACAAACAAACAAACAAACAAAAGTGTACAGAAAGGAAAACATTAAAATAAGATTAAACCACCAAAATGATTTTAAAAAACACTTTAAAAGATAAGATACTGATTAAAAAAGAGAACCCCTTTATACAATGACTGAATGTAAAACATCACCCCCTATTCTTTGAAAAGCCTGCCAAAAAAAAAAGGTCTTTGCCTGGTTACAAAAGGGCGTCAGGGAGAGGGACATTCTGCATTGGAAGGGAGCTGCAACCTAGGGGCAGCCACTGAGAAGGCCTGTCTCATGACCCCAGTAGTTGTGCTTGTAACAATGGTGGGGCTGAGAGAAGGGCCTCACTTGATTATCTCAGGCCCTGGGTAGGCTTATATAGAACAGGCATGACAATCATCAGTTCTCCAGGTGTTTTGGACTTCAGGAGTTGAAGTCCAAAACACCTGGAGGACCAAAGTTTGCCCATGCCTGATATAGAGGGACATAGTCTCTCAAATAACTGGAACTTTGATTTATGCCTGGTAATACACTGAAAGACAATTAAGCTCTTTTAATAGGAGTAGTATGGCTCCCTAAAACATGTCCAAGTTAATACCGTGGTCAACACCATGGCTGAATATTTTAGCTGGAATTGCCTGTAATACCTTGCCTTGGTCAAGCAGCCCTGGTAACCTGAAGCTAGTGCCTGGTGCAGAAGGTTCGTGGCTCAAGGCCTGCATGGGTTAATGCCACAACTGAGTGAGTGTATAATTCTGGGGAAAGTATGCTCGTGTTCCACAACTTTGCCTCATGAATGGACTCACCATTGCAATCAAGATGGAGAAGTATACACCTACATTGCCTCTTGTGCTAATATGATCTGAGCAATAAACTAGACAAGTTCCAGTGACGTTATCCCAGGACATCATTGGATTGACACAAGTGCTGTGAACCTTGTCCATCTGGCTCTTTTGCCATTTGTTTCCTGGGAGATTGGCAATCCCAGGATAAGCTCCAGACAGAAACTCAGTGTGACTTTCAGACTGACTCACTCGGATAGGGGTGGAGAAGTGCTGTGTAAACACAAGCATGGCTGCAAGTAAGAGGAAGGTCAGGCCATGCCTAGCTACAAGGAAAGCAAGAGGAACTATCCCTAACAAATGATGCCACAGGATCTGAGTGACACACCCTGGCAGTGGGACCTTGAACAACTGTCACCTGTTCTTCTGACACAGGAACCTGGGTGGGAGGAGCATTCATGGCCTGGGTGAGCATCTTTATAGCATTATTGACACTGGTGAGTTGCGTGCTTTATCCACCCTATCTGTTTTATGGTGACATTTCCATGATATGTGAGATTAGTGTGAGAGAGAAATGCATCAGGAAGTGAACTAATCAGGCATATGGTATTTTAACAAGGTTAGAGAGACATAGTGCAAAACCAGCTGCAGGAGCTGAAACTGCATATCAGATTGCCTCTGGAAGCCCTAATAACTTATACTATATCCTGACAGACAGCATGCTTATTTTCTCTAAGGTCTATATTGCAATAGTAAGATATTGTTGTCTGACCATAGGAAAAAAGGTCTTTGCCTCCCAGTTCCCCTGTCTATTTGCTTTGTGGCCTGGTATAGGTGTAAAACTGGCAAAGCCTGGGTGGCAATGGAGTGACTGGGCTAGGAACTTATTTAGCTGAGTTCATAACTCAGAATGAAAGGCAAGGCACTTTGTCTCTGGCTCTCACTCCATCCCCATATGAAACATTATTTATTTCGTATCAAAAGCATTGCATAAATTAGTATAAAACTGATAAAAATAGAAGGAGTGCAGGTGGCTAAATATCTTTGGACCAAAACCAGGCAACAGCAACATCACTGTCTGTAGCCTCCAACAATTCTTCCTCTGTACATGAGACAGGGCATAGTGGACAAGCATACAGATGCAGAGTTGTCTGTTCTGCTCCACAGTCAGACAAGGTGTGGAATTCTTTTAGGTAGTGCCATTTTGCCAGGTTGTCTGCCCACTCCACTTCTGAGTCTGTTCAGGGAATTCCAAGTTGCCCATTCTTGGTTTGCCCCTGGAGGAAGATCCTCGTAGGGGGCCATCCATTTGGGCCTGTCTGCAAGGGCCCCCTGTGTTTACTGGGGTGAATAGTACCTTTGAAGATGTACTGTGGATATGTAACATACAGGCAAGTCTCAATTTGCATAACAATTGCATTTGTGGAGCTGGGGTGAAAATTCTTCATCTTTTTTTACTTTAGTGTTATAAACAGAATTACCCCTTTTGGCACTTTTAATGTTAACTCAACTTGCCGTCTCACCATCATGATTTGTCAGTCTAAGCTGACAGAGAAAACCCTTCCCTCCAGCAACACCAAAACCCCAAGATTTCCGCCTCTTCCTTCCTCTCTCACACACAATTTCTAAATGGACAGAGGAAACCCCTTCCTTCTGACCACGTCAAGATTGTGGTTGCTTTCTCCCTTTCTCTATTCTCCCGACATATCAAGTGAAGAAATCCAGTCCAATCAGCTGTTCCTATGCCAATACACCAATAACTGCAGTCTCCTGACACTCCATCTCCCTTAACTTCACAGGGACACTGGGAGAGTTATACATTATGGATGTGACTTGCACTTGATTATATATTTCTGGAGAAACCTGGTGAATTTGAAGAGTCGTAAATAGGGATAATGTAAATTGAAACTCGTCGTCCCCCCCCCCCCCCGGTGGCGCAGCAAATTAAACTGCTGAACTGCTGAACTTGTTGACCGAAAGGTTGGCAGTTCGAATCCGGGGAGCAGTGGAGATCCCGCTGTTAGGCCCAGCTTCTGCCAGCCTAGCAGTTAAAAACATGCACATGTGAATACATCAACAGGTACCACTTCTGCGGGAAAGTAACAGCACTCCATGAAGTCATGCTGGCCACATAACCTTGGAGGTGTCTATGGACAACACTGGCTCTTGGACATAGAAATAGAGACGAGCACTACCCCCCAGAGTTGGACACAACTAATGTCAGGGAAAACCTTTATCTTTACTTTAAAGTGAAACTTGCCTTTGTGTTTTTTTCAAGTATTCCTTAGTGTTTGTCTTATTGTTTTTGTGTTAGCAGAAGACATTACGGCACTTTCCAGGTGTGACCGCACTACCTCCCCACACCACCCAGAGCTTGGCCATGAAGAGTAGGAGTAAGGATGAGACTAGCGACACAGACAGTGGGATCATAGTGCAGTCAGGTAAGTGAGTAATGGGGGGAATTCCTGGATTTCTTCCTTTGTCAACAATTACTCTTCTGTGAGGTCTTCCTTTCATCGCAGGACCTGGAACTGCTGTAGACTGTGGTCAGAAGACTAAGCTTAGTAGCTGCCTGAACACTGTGGCCGGTGAGATAAAAGCATAACTGCGGAGAGACAACCTTGCCCCCTCTCTCTGTTACTCACGGCAGCTCCCATATTTTTTCTCCCAGCTGGGCTGTGACGTAAGCCAAAATATTCAGATGGAGGTGTGCAAGGTTCCAAAGTATGACTGTGGCCTTGCATTAGCACATATAGCCAGGAGCAGGTGATATCAGTATAGTGGAAGGGTGTAGTCTGGGTTTTTTTTTTGTCTTGTATTTTTTAATGTTCCTTATCTTACAGTGTAATTAGCAACACTTCATCACACTAAAGAATAAAAATCCACTTAAAATCCAGTTTTTGCCTCCTGCAGAATTCTGGGGTTTGTATTTTAGTGATGCTGTTAAAGGCTCATCCCTAAACTACAAACCCCAGAATTCTGCAGGAGGCAGAAATTCGGATTTTAAGTGGATTCATTCTCTAGTGTGATGAGGCCCTAGTTCCTTAGAAAATAAGGTGTCTTAAAATTGAGGCAGAAATTTGTTGAAATGAGGAGTGAACGTTTTGGTTTGAGAAGGTAGGTTTTGCAGTGTTTTACTAAAAAATCTAGGACAGTGTTATATTTGGCATTTTTTTTCTCCATAAGCACTTTCCAGTGTTTCTATTCTTGCTTTCCTGTTAAAAAATGCTAAAGAAGTCTAAACAAAATGCCGGTAGGAAAGGTGAATCAGGAGGCCAAACTGGAAATGCATACACAGTTAGATTATCATGTATGTAGAGAAATGTTGCATATGAAATGTGCTTTCATGGTTTTAGATCATTCTTTTTCACAAGGTGCTTTGTTCATTCAATTTGATCTAATGCAGAAATGTTCCTTGAGATCCATAATCTATGGCATTTCTACACAAAAGCTGAAGTAGAGAGTGCGGAAGTTTAGAGGGTAGACTAGTGTATTTGCTAGTAAGATACAAGATGTGTGCTGGATTCTCCCATGCTTGGCAAGAGATGAAATATTTCCTGGTCTTTCTTCTGTATTGAAGTTAAGAACAGAAATGATAAATGTAACCTAAATACGATTGTTAGATTTATAATTTTTTCAGAATTCAAAAAAGTTGCTGTTTGACTGAAACATCCAAATCTCAAAATGCCATAGTAACTGGAGGATTTGGAAAATTGCAGTGTACTAAATAGCTTTTCCCAGGCTGTTTAGGACCACAGAAATTAAATGACAAGGAAAGAAAAGAATAAGTGATTTGGAAAGAAAAATGAGTACATTCTGAACATGGACATTTCATGCCACTTCTTCCAGAAATGAAGGAATACAAAACGTTGACATTTCAGCCTCTCCTTTTGAAACTCTGGTTTCTTATGCATTTCCCAGTGCTTGTTTGCTTATCTCAGAATACATCTGAATAAGAACCAGTCCATTGGAACCAGACTACTTTGGGAAGTCTGACTTGGCCACGGTAGTCTGCACTCTTGTTACAGCCCCTCTAGATTACTGCAACATGCTCTATGTAGGGTTGCCTTTCAAGATTGCAAATAGTCCAATGTGCTGTAGCCATGTTGTTAACTGGGGTGTCACAAAGGGAGCATACAATCCTTCCGTTGTGGCAAGTCCATTGGCTGCCAATTAGCTACCGAGCAAGATTCAAAGTGCTGGCTTTAGCACTAAACGGCTCTGGTCCAACTTACCTGTCCGAACGTATCTTCCCTCTATGAACCAGTTTGTAGATTAAGATCTTCCGGGGAGGTCCTGCTCTCGGCCCCACTGGCCTCACAGGTGCAGCTGGTGGGGATGAGTGACAAGACCTTCTCGATCGTGACCCCACAGCTGTGGAACTCCCTCTGAGTGAGATCAGGAATATTTAATGTGAAAATGAAAGTTGAAAGTGCAATGACCCAGGACTGTTTACAACAACAGCTATGTGCCTGTGTGATAGGTGATGTTATTTTATGTGATGTGTTTAATAATGTTTAATGTTTTATTAGGGGAGGGTAAATTTTAATATTTTATACTATTTTATCGACAGCATTGAATTGTTGCCAACACTGTGAACAGCCCTGAGTCCCCTTCGGGGTTGAGAAGGGCGGTATACAAATATTGCAAATAAATAAACAAATAAATCAGTATTAAAGTAGGGAAATTTCCTGGATACAATGTGACATCAGAAAACCTTCTGCACCCATTCATCTTGAATCATAGCTGTGTAATTGTCTCCTGTTGGATGATGAACCAATGCAGACTAAGGTCAGACCTATATGTGACTGGCAAGAAGTCAGTGAGTTAAGTGAGTACCTCTGATCTTTGGAAGAAATCCTGTGGGTGATGCCCCTTAAGTGAGGACTAAAATTTTCTGGAACGCTGTCTCAAGGCTTTTCAAAGATCAAAGTCTTGCTCCCTCTTTCTGTCTTTTTTTCCGGTCTATGGGCAGAGCAGCCAATCTGTTTGCTTAGTTTTCCAATAAACCTAACAATCAGGAACGTGGCCAGGTCTTCTTTTTATCTGATCTGCAGTGACCTTGAGCTGCCTACAGCCTGTGAAGCAGGAGCTAATCAGTCCCTGGTGCTGTACACATTCCTTGCCCCACCTGATGAGCTGTCAGAATAGTCGCCCCTTTGAAGTTCTGCACCGGTTTTATGATAACTGCTAATGACATCGGACTTTAAAATGCATTTGCAAGACCTGCAGCTGGCTCCAGCCTCCTGCCAAAGGGCATCCCCATCTGGCTCGTTAAACATTGTTGATTCTCTTTTCCCTTCCTTCACTGCAACTGACTGATGTGTCTTTCTGTGTCTTCCGTGTCTCATTCAGGATTAGACAGCCCCATGGCTCCCATGAAGGACCTCACCCAAGCCATGAGGAAGCAGCAGAAGGCTTTAGAGGAGAAACTTGAGGCCTGCATGCAGGAGCTGAGAAGGCTGTGTTTGCGTGAGGCGGTAAGTGGCCAGCAAAGCTGAGGGGGTTTGCACAACCTGTGTACAAAGGGGTGTACATGAAAAGTTCTGCTAAAGAAAACTTATCTTTGGTGCCCAAGTAAAAGGGAGAGGCTTTCCATAGAGTTGCTAGACCTGGGAGGCACTCAGATAGGAAGAAAGCAGGATTGACAGGTCTTGGGGTGCCAGCCAGAGTATCCGGGAGTTGCAATGTTTCCTCATCTTTCCCCAGCTGAGGAGATATATATCAGGGCAGGCAGTGATGGGAAAGAAAGTTTGTCTGGCTTGTACCTGTAACATTACAAAGCCATTCCTTCTGGTCTCAGTTTTTGGCCCTGAAATCACAGAGAATGGGATGTTGTTGACCTGGTAACTCTAAGGAAGATGTAATCCAATGGCAACACTAGTGTAACTGTCTCCTGGAGACAAATAAAGGACAAAGTGTGTATCAGTATTATTGCCTTGTGTAAGATGTTTTTCCATTATTCCAAAGATATCATAGTAAAACAGTGGGAATGCTTTAATTGAGCCTAGCTACATTACAGGCTTTCTTCCTTCACATTGAGAGGTTCCTCTGCCCCTTAACACATCCTTTCTGTGGTAGCCCCTGATGGTGCAGTGAGTTAAACCATTGCACTGCTGAACTTGCTGACCGAAAGGTTGGCAGTTCGAACCCGGGGAGCGAGGTGAGCTCCCATTGTGAGGCCCAGCTTCTGCCAACCTAGCAGTTCAGAAACATGCAAATGTGAGTAGATCAATAGGTGGTGCTCCATGTAGTCATCCTGACCACATGACCTTGGAGGCATCTACGGACAATGTCGGCTCTTCGGCTTAGAAATGGAGATGAGCACCACGCCCCAGAGTTGGACACAACTAGACTTAATGTCAGGGGTTTTCCTTTACCTACACTACATCAATGGGCAATAAGTGCCCCTCTAGCCAATAGACTGGGACTCCCATCATCCTTCAGTTTCAGGAAAAAGTAAAGGCAAACTTTCTCTGAACAAATCTTGCCAAGAAACCTCATGATACGGTATCATGACTTGGAAATGATTAAAGCTGCACAACTACAACTAGCTGCGATTGTATTCTAAACGACATCTGGAGTGCCATATGTTGATCACATAATCAAAGATCCCTGTTTCAAATTTCCTAATGAATCTGAAGATGTGATCCCCCCGCTCCACTAGCTGAAATGGAGGTATAGTTAGTTTTTCCTCTTAACCTATTGTTATAATTCCCAATTCTTTGTCATAAGATGGAAAACATATTAAAAGAAGCTAATATCAAATTTGCACCAAAAGATTTTTCATACTTCTGCGGTCTATTCTATAATCTTGGGAGGCTAGGAGGTTTTTCTTCTGGATCCATCCAAAGATAACATTGGTCATCACCTCTAAAGCCTCATGATAATAAAAAAATTAAATCATATATCAAGTTATTATATTAAATGATTTGCTGTGGGAATGTTTGAAATGAACTTTGCCCTGGGTATTTTGTGTGATAGCTTTTATGCCATTTATGAAACAGTCTCTTGTGCCAGACATTAACTCGTGGTCATGGGATATTCAGGAAATATGAACAGCTGCAACATTAACAATGAACTGCCCCATTAAAAGAGACAAGACATATTTTGTGAGTGACTCTCAAGACTTACCTTCGAGCCATTAGAAAAGGTAAAATAAAGTAAATATAAAATAATCTGAAGTGCTCTTCTAAATGGAGAAATTAAATATTTTTACCTGCCCTCTTTTCCAGCTAGCTTCAGATACTTTCTTGCCCAAGGTAGAAAAAGCAGATGTTCTCTTCCCCTGTCAGTCAAGGTCTAGGACCACTCAAAATTATTTTGGCACTTTTATCTCAATGGTGATCTCTGTTGTAAACTGTGACCTATTCTTCTCTTTCCTTGGCAGGAACTGACAGGATTGCTGCCTTCAGAGTATCCGCTGAAACCAGGAGAGAAGCCTCCAAAGGTGCGCCGTCGAGTAGGTGCAGCTTTCAGATTGGATGAAAAAGCAATTCTTTCAAGAGGAGCGGTAAGGAAATTCCTAGATTGGGATGGGAAGAAATATGCTTTGCAGCCCATATTAGAGCATTATTGGCAATTGTGGCTGACTATGGTTCTGGCCTGTGAGTCTGAAATACAAATGCACCATAGTCTTTCCGACCTTTTCCTGGTGGAATCTGCTTTCATCATGGCTGAGCCTCCGGTGGTGCAATGGGTTAAACCCTTGCGCTGGCAGGACTGCTGACCAAAAGGTCAGTTTGAATCCAGGGAGTGGGGTGAGTTCCCATCTGTCAGCTCCAGCTTCCCATATAGGGAAATGAGAGAAGCCTCTCACAGGATGGTAAAACATCTGGGCGTCCCCTGGGCAATGTTCTTCCAGATGTCCAGTTCTCTCACACCAGAAGCAACTTGCAGTTTCTCAAGTTGCTCATTGACACACACACACAAAAAATGGCTGAGGAGACTTATTAATGGATACTGTTCCCAGACTACATGGAGCTAATGCCAATAGAATTAGCAATACATAAAGGGGCAGTGTGCTGATTCCTGACAATGCAGTATCCTGTTAAATTACATCATCTCATCAGGGATCAAATTGGCATTTCTGATATTCTCTGCAACAAAAAGAAGATTCTTTGTACGGTGAGCTATCATAAAGCAACAGTAGTTTCGTTTGTTGTGTGGATTACGTCTCCAATGAGAATAATTTTGTCCTCTTATGAAAGATTCATACACCTTGGTAATTTCCTGTGGGTAATTTTTGTCAGAGGTTTGCCACATAAACTTGCAATTTTGACAGATAGTTAACATGCATAGAGATGCGAAAAGGTATTTTTAACTCTTGTCCTTTTGAAAACAAGTTAAAGCTACTCCAGAAAACCACAACCTTTCTATGTAGGGGAAAGAAATATCTTGAATAGAATCTTGCTAACTACAAATTCCTATGAAGTACACAAGGCGTCAGATATAGCTGTCAGCACAAAGGGGTAATTCTACGTAGTTCAATACTTTGTTTGGAAAGGCAAAGGGACGTGGAAGCTTCAGGCTTCAAGCAAAAAAATCATAGTAAAGCCTCATTATCATCAAAGGTGCGTCTTAGGTTGTGCAATTCCTCTCTCCCTCTCTCCTGTGGCCTTTCTTAATAAAAATCGTAGTAGGAGGCAATCTGGGTGTGACATTGTTTATTCTTTCTCTTTGTGCTCTTAGTGGGTGGCATAGGGCATGGCCACTGTGTTGAAGGGTTCTCTTGCTGACCATAGATTRTTTCTAATACATACACATGCACACAGGAATACACACACACAAACTAGCTGTACCAGCCACTAGCTGTGTGYCCAACCTTCCGTCCCTCTTTCTCTCCTTCTTTCCMTCTTTCCTTCGCTCCCTCTTTCCTTCCCTCCTTACCTTTTCTTCTTTCCTTCTCTCCTTCCTTCCTTCCTTCTCTAACTCTTTCCTTCCTTCCCCCTTTTTTCTTTTCCTTCTCTCTTTCTCTTTCTTCTTTGTTTACCTCTTTCCTTCCTTTGCTTCTTTCTTTTTTTCTCCCCTTCCTTCCCTCCGTCACCCTTCCCTTTTTTCTGWATCGTCATTTAGCTTTTCATGATTTAGCTTTTTATAATAATAAAATAATAATTATTATTATTTATTTATACCCCGCCACCATCTCCCCAAGGGACTCAGAGCAAATTACATGAGGCCAAGCCCAACAACATATCAATATTTATTATTTATTTATTTGCTTTATTTCTATACCGCATTTTTCAGCCCAACCAGGCGACTCAATGCGGTTTTAAAAAAGCAATAAACAAAAACAATAAATAAAATACAATTAAAATAAATCACATATAAACAATAACCAACAAACAGTAACACACAAGGATTTTTCGGGGTTTTTAAAGTTCTTTCTGCTGTTTTTTTTTGAGGGGGGTTATGAGTAATGGTCACTCATTGGTCTGTTAGGGGTATAGTGTCCAAATTTGTTGTCAATTCATCCAGTGGTTTTTGAGTTATGTTAATCCCACAAACAAACATTACATTTTATTTGTATACATATATATATCTAACTGATGTGTTGCTTACAACTCAGAAAGCAATTTCAGAAAAGATTTTTATCACACCATAATTTTGCCTCATTGACTGAATTTTAAAAAGGCTTAACAATGTGCATGGTATTCTGTTCGTGACACACATGGCGTAGTCACATTGTGCACACAAAGTGAATTATTCACCCTGGTGGAACATATATATTCTGCTGACAACGGTTGAAACAGAATTGCATATACAGGAATGATGTGCATTGCTTTTCAGCATTGTATTTTCACATTGCACAACAGTACCCGGTCATTAATATGTGTTTCACACTGTTGATATTCTGCATGGGGGTTGTGTAGTGCTGCGATAGCATATCTCATACAGAGATAATAACTCCATTATGCTGAAGGGATGTTGGACTGCAGCCAGTGTCTCTCTCAATTTGTAGCTATTCCCTGTTTTGCCATCCCTACTTCTGCCTTTTCCTTGTCAAAGAGAAAGAGGTGGAATAACTGCACAGCGCCTTTTAATGGGTAGCCTCAGGAGCTCTCTGTCTGGAAACGCCCAGCCTGAGCTTTCTTTGCCCCTTCCTTAATTCTTAGGCACAATTCCTCTTTGTAGTGTTCCTTTTGTAAATCTTCTGGGTTTTTCCATAGCTGCTTCTTTTTTTCTTCCATATTAAGGAGAGAAAGTTGGGATGCCTTTTGATCAGTAGGACTCAGAATCTACAGACACCCTTGGTCTGTGAAGAGTTTACTTCATCCACATTTATGGGCTTATTGGACAGGTGGAAACCAAGCCTGAAACTTAAATCGCAAGGTGCGCTCAAAGGAAACACCCTTTAAACTGCAGATTATCTAAATCCAGAATAATTACCATCTCTGGCTCATGAGTCTCAAAAGACTCTCACTGGATTAAGCAGGCATCAAAGCAGGGGAAAGTCACCTTTATATTCTTTAATTAACTCAATTGCGGGAGTGACAGGAAGGTTGAATTGGTTAAAGGAAGCAGTCTTAATTTGTAGTATTTTCAGAGTCTTATCTCTATTGAAGTATCGTCACCACCCATGCTTTTCTCCTTAACCCAATAAATAATGATATTATGGAGTTGGGCATTATCCTAAAGTGTTTGAATCTCTTTGACTATTCTAAAAAAAATTGGCACATTAGTGTTGTCTTATTCACACACACTTTTGCCATAGATAGTGTAATACTGCCATTTTTCATTCCATAATCTGTCATATTGCTAGTGAAGCTCCCATGGCATTTCATGCCTAAAACATCTGGTTATGTCCCCTAATGAGAAACAATGCAATTATGTATCTGCTGAGCTCCTCTGGGTCTCAGTAGCGGATATAATCATTTTATGTCTGACTACAGGGGACATAGCCTGACATTGCCCCCGGTGGCACAATGGGTTAAACTCTTGTGCCGGCAGGAATGAAGACAAACAGGTCAGAGGTTCGAATCAGGGGAGAGTGCAGATAAGCTTCCTCTGTCAGCTCCAACTCCCCATGCAGGGACAAGAGAGAAGCCTTCCACAAGGATGGTAAAATATCAAAACATCTGGGCGTCCCCTGGGCACGTCCTTGCAGACGGCCAATTCTCTCACACCAGAAGTTACTTGTAGTTTCTCAAGTCACTCCTGACATGGAAAAAAAACCCTGACACTTTTCAATCCCTCCCTCCAGGCACAAATAGTTGTAGATGAATGGCTTCTGATACTCTTTGGAAGGCCCAGGGGAGAAAATTCTGATGCAGAAAAAGGAGGAGAATACCAATATATACAATTGTAGGTTTACCTTATATGTGTTTTTACCACTGATAGGATTTTAGCCCAAATGTGTAGAATTCAGGTGTCGTGTTTCAAATTAACACATTATTATAAAGAAATTTGAACATGGCTGCAATTGTAAGTGGGGAAATGATTCCCCCCATTACTTAGATTGTATTATTAACTTGAAAGCCTCTTGGGATGTTGTTCTGTGCACATCACAAGCAAGTTTTTGGATGCCAGTGACATTATTGGTATTGAAAAAGACCTCTTATGCCAGCATAATTGCATACATCATGTTTGTGCCAGCATCTTATGCTAGCATCAGAACTGGAGTGTGAGAAGAAGGGAGCAATGCATGGGCCAACTTTAGTCCCCAGGGCTGTTTTTCGCATTTCTCCCAGACTCCCTTGTAAATAGTACCATCAAAATTTGAATTCAGACTTGGAAAATCCAATGCTAGTATTTTGCTTGCTTTTAATGGCTTGCAGTAATTTGCTATGAAATTTCAAGTACAACCTGAAATAGATTTAGGGGAGGAATTGCAGACGAGAAGGCTGAGAGAAGACATGATAGCCATGTATAAATATGTGAGGGAAAGTCATAGGGAGGAGGGAGCAAGCTTGTTTTCTGCTGCCCTGGAGACTGGGACGTGGAACAATGGCTTCATATTACGGGAAAGGAGATTCCACCTGAACATGAAGAAGAACTTCCTGACTGTGAGAGCTGTTCAGCAGTGGAACTCTCTGCCCCGGAGTGTGGTCGAGGCTCCTTCTTTGGAAGCTTTTAAACAGAGGCTGGATGGCCATCTGTAGGGGATGCTTTGAATGCGATATTCCTGCTTCTTGGCAGGGGGTTGGACTGGATGGCCGATGAAGTCTCTTCTAACTCTATGATTCTATAATTCTATGAATTCACTGAAATGGCTGAACATGTTTCTCATCCCACCCACACAAGATGTGATTACCATCTAGGTTGTATTTTCCCCTTGTTTCATTTCCTTTGGAGCATTATTTCTTTATTTTGTCTCTAGCTGTCATGTACTTTCTCACTCAGTATTGAAGCACTGAATCTGTGTTTGGAGGAGGGAAAATAAATTCAGTTATTTTCTCCATATAGATAGCAAAGGTTACCCCAATCAGATTTCAACTGCATAAAACATAGTTGCAAAGTTTGTGATATCTTTCATCCCATCCTAAGAGAAAGGTGGAATATAAATTAAATAAATATATAATGTAAATAATAAAATGACAAGTGTACACAACTCTATAGAATGTGCAAAGAATATAACTAGGAAGAGAAAGCACTCATCATCTAATTTGGTTTACCTTGAAAAGATATTTTAATTTAGAGGGTTGAAGCTGATAGAATCATGATAGTGACAATAGCTTAGATACACCCACTTTTTCAGAGTACTTTGTTTCCTGCATAGCTTTGACTTTTAATTCCATCACTTTGGTCCTTACGTGCTCCTTTTAAGATGCTAGATCATCTAATCCTTTCTGAAGAGTCATCTCAAAAGGTCATAATTTGGAAAAAAAACCCAGTTGTCTTCCCCACAGGATCCTCTGAGCACACTGGAAAGAGACCTGGCTCTCCAGCTGCAAATCGCTGAGGCTTCACGTTGTCTTTCCCGGGAAGAGAATCTCACCAAGCAGGTTCGGAAGCGTCGGAAAAGTGCTGTGTTGAAGGAGGAAAAGAAGCTGAAAGAACTGGAGCATGCCCTCATTGAGTATCACTTGACAGCCAGGCATTCACCACAACTAAGGGCTAGTGCCCCAGCATTGGAAGGTGAGCAAAATCCATTTGGAGATACAGTTCTGGGTAAATGGTCCCGAGATAATTCTCAAAGGGCTTCAAACACAAGAATATTAAGTATCCTGATGGAAGAGGGTGGTCTTAAGGAAGAAGATGGTATAATAATGAAAAATTAAACTGAGTTTTCTGGACTGGAAAAATTAAAATATCTAAAAGTTTAAATAGGGAGATTGTTTGTTGTCACTGCGAAGTAAGACAACATTAACTATATCTGTAAACTGTGGGAGCTAATATCGGGAAGTGTTTCCAAAGGAGTAATAGAACAAAAAACAAAAACAAAGACCAGAGTCTCCTGACATATTAAAGACTGGCACATTTGTTATAGTTTGACAAAGCTTATATCATAATGTTTTCTTTAACCAAGATGTCATAAGACACTTCACTGTTATGAGGAAGTGGGTTTTGTAAATATGATTTGTCTGGAAATGGGAAAGAAATTTGGATTAAATACCTGTCCCTGGAAATAACAAGAAGTAGGTCAAATGAACTTTTGGCAGGCATGGTTTAGTTGGACTTCATCCCAGATCAGGGCAGGAAGCTGGCCTTTTATGGTTTTTCCTGGTTTAATAATCTACAATCTGCAATTTTCTGTAAGCGGTTGCCAAAGAGAGCTCATGAAAGAACAGGGAGAGCCAGCTGGAGAAGGCATGTAGAAACCTGTAGTGATTGACGCCAATCTGTGTAGCATTAGATTAACCCTGAGTAAATATTAAGAAGAAGAAAATATTGAGTTTGCAGTCCAGCTAACCTAAGAATTAGTTGATCACATTGAGACTCGGTTGCAAGTAAGATAATAAGTGATTCCCCAGGAATTTTAGTACGAAAATGTCTGTACTGAGAACAGTTCACTGGTATGAGTGGGTGGTTTCTTATGTTCTCAGTTCAGTGGTATTCCTTGAAGAATGAATAACATTATATAGTTTCACATGAAAAGTTGCCACTGCCTTCACATGCAACATCTCTAAGAAACATCGGCCAGAATTCTGTTTATGCCTCCCATAGGTATAAGTTCCTCTACAGAACTGATTGTTTTTATCCAAAGTGCTATAGCACCCAATACTTCTCAAAGAAAAGGATTTATTTATTTATTTATTTCATTTACATTCCAGCCTGTGATGGCGCAGTGGGTTAAACCTTTGTGCCAGGAGGACTGCTGACCAACAGGTCAGTGGTTCGAATTCAGGGAGAGCGGGTTGTCAACTCCTGCTCCCCATGCGGGTATATGAAAGAAGCCTCCCACAAGGATGGTAAAACATCAAACATCCAGGCGTCCTCTGGGTAACATCCTTGTAGACAGCCAATTCTCTCACACCAGAAGCAACTTACAGTTTCTCAAGTCGTTCCTGACATGAAAGATAGATAGATAGAAAGATAGATAGATAGATAGATAGATAGATAGATAGATAGATAGATAGATAGATAGATAGATATAGATAGATACACACACACACACCACTTTTCTCTACCTCTAGGGGAACAAAACTGGTTCACAACAAAGTAAATGGCAAAATTCAATGCCTCACAAGATATAAAGGAGAGAAAGAGGGAAAGAAGCAAAGAAGGAAGAGAGAAGGAAGGATGGAAGCAAGCAAGGAAGGAAAGAAAGAAAGAGGTAGAGAAGGAAGAAAAAGCGAGGGGAAGGAAGGAAACAGGTAGAGAAAGAAGGAAGGAGAGAAGGAAATAAGAAGGAAGGAAGGAAGGAAGGAAGGAAGGAAGGAAGGAAGGAAGGAGAGAAAGAAGAGAAAGAGGAAAGGTTGGCCATAGCAATGCGTGGCAGGTACAACTAGTATAATAATAGATTAAAATCAGTGACCTATAAAATATCACACATAAACAACATAACATAAAACATTGGACATCACACCATTCCTGAAGTTATCTTGGCTGCTTCATCTCACTCTCCAAATGCTTGCTTAAAAGGCCATGTTTTGAGTAACTTCCTGAACATCAGGAGGGAGGGCGCCAATCTGATCTCGATGGGGAGGGAGTTCCACGGCAGAGGTGCCACCACCGAGAAGGCCCTTTCTCTCATCTCCACCAGTTGCACCTGCAAAGGTGGTGGGACCGAGATCAGGACTTCTTCAGCTACCTTAATGCTCTAATTGGGTCATAGAGGGAGATACATTCAGATAGGTAAGCTGGACTGGAACTGTTTAGGGATTTATAGGCTAGGGCCAGCACTTTGAATTGTACTCGATAGTAAACCAGCAGCCAGTGGAGCTGATTCAACAGAGGAGTTGTATACTTCCTGTGAGTCGCTGTGAATGGAAACATTCATTTCAAAGCTATGGAATTGTCTCGATAAATGAGCATTCCTGTCCAATTCATACTCTTCTGGCTCTACTGGAATTGACAACAGTACTCTTGCAGTTGTGCAACATTAACATTCAACAAAAGAGTAGCATGACACTTACAATGCCTATGGTGTATACTCATGTATGATTCTAGAAACTTGGGTCAACTTATCCATAGATTAATATAAGTACTGTACTTTAACACACACACGCACACGCACACACTGAGCAATGTGGCAGAGCAGAGCTTAATCAATTCTAGGAGAACCTAAATAACCACTACTCTCTGCCTCAATCCCACATCTGTCTTTTTGAATTCCTGGGCAGGAAAATGGCAGTGGTGGCCATTTCCCCTCTCCACAACATTACCCAATACTTATCTACAGATCTTATCAAAATATATAATTTTGGCCTCCAAACTTGCCTTTGACTTATACAGAAGACAGATTTCTACATGAGTATATGTTGTAACTCTTCTTGTAGAGGTTTGCACTATGCAACTCTGATGTAGGATTGAGCCATAGAAAACCTGCTTTATATCAGATTAGTATATTAGTCTGGTACCAGCAGTGGCTCTCCAGACTCTAGACAGAAGACTTTCCCAGCCAAACCATACAGGAAACTTATGTATGAAAAAAAAAAAACAACATGTGGCACCACCACTGTGCTGAGGACCCTCTGCCAACATGGATAGTCAGAAGATCCAGTTGTAGGATGTCTTGTCTGATGAACTTAGTTCCCCATCCAATTCCAGAACTAATCTTTGTGGGTAGTAAAACATATTCAGTATTTGCCAACCACACTCTGCTGCAGAGTTAAGTGTGCTTAACCCTTTTAAATCAGTCAGCTTAAGGGCATTTAGCCTCACAGTAAATTACAGCCAAAATGTATCATCTAAGCCTCATGTATAAAGTGAAAACAAATATTAATTTGTAATTAAGTATTTAGACTGTGTAGGAAGAAATGGCCCAAAATGCAAATGCAAATACCTTAGATTCACTGCACCAGGGAATATTTCTTTGAGGCATTTAAGTGCATGCACATGAATGCAATGCCCTGAATGATGTGTTTTGCACTATTAATAATTGTGAAGAGGGGAAAGCCTTTCTCCCACTGTTGAGATGCTTTGTAGAACTTACTAGTACAGATTTCTAGGGAATGTGAGAGAGTTCTGGTAACTGCTTAAAAATCTATTTCAAGAGAGATCTATACTTGTTCTATCATATCTTCAGTTTCCAATATTTACATAAGTGATGAATGTTTTCCCTTAGGTAGCCACTATGTCAGATAGTATAGAAGGCAGGGGCATAGGGAATCCCATACTTATGGAAGTACAACTAATATATGGAAGAATTCTGAAGGAGGAAGTATTCTAAAATAGTTCAGTGAGAATTGGACCTGCTCATTGATCACAGAATCCTGACAATCAGGATCACAGAATCCTGACAATCAGAGCCTCCCAACAAAGGATTCCCCCAGGCAGAAAGCAGCCAGGCATTGAAACTGCAAGGCCATTCAGTGCTAATCAAGGTGGCCAATTGCAACATTCACACTTGCCTCAGGCAGACAAGAGTTCTTTCTCCCACTCTGGACATTCCACAGATAAATACAGCTCACTTGCCTAGTTTCCAACAGACCTCAGAGGATGCCTGCCATAAATGTGGGTGAAATGTAAGGAGAGAATGCTTCTGGAACATGGTCATACAGCCCGGAAAACTCACAGCAACCTGCTGACACACTGCTGGTGGGGAAAAATATCAAATGGAAAGTGTGGAATGAAATCACACATTTCAAAATTTCAATAGCAGCACTCTGTATTGCAACGTTTTGTTACAAGTCCTGTCTTTCAAGGTCTGTTCCTATTTTTCTCCCAGGGTTCAGTGTCTGTAATGAGAGCCTCCTGCTAGATCCTTCTCAGGTAGAGAAAGGTAAGCTAGAAGTTAATGATCTCAGTTTTATTGTCGCCTTATGCATATGCCTTTTCCTCTTTTGCACAGACAAGCGTGAGAACAAATTTATGGGAGTGGATTGCAGCATTTCTCAATGCAAATCTTGTTTCCCAGGCTGTGATAGATTTGAGCAGTCCCATGCCCGCTATGGCACTCCTCTTAATGGCTCTCCATTCCGTACAGACCAGCTTTCTGTAAGATTGTGAAACAATGATAGAATGCAGGATGTAGAGTCAAAGGGTACATCAACATCTATGGACAACGCTGGCTCTTCGGCTTAGAAATGGAGATGAGCACCACCCCCCAGAGTCTGACACAACTAGACTTAATGTCAAGGGGAAACCTGTACCTGTACCTTTATGCTATATAATTGTGAAAAGCTGTTAAATTTAACACCCTGTTTTCAGTTCAGTTTAGTGGTGATAATCTTCATTGTGGATTTTGAATGGGATATTGAAACTAAGATAGCAGTCACTGATGTTACCATTTAATTTTCTAGTTTTGGCAAATTATAATTTTTTTCACGTATTTATTTAAGAACCCCAGACGGTGAACCCTAGTCTTCCATCAAAGCTTCCAGCTTCCACACACCACCAACCCTTGCAGAATTCTTCAGTTCAGTCCCCTCATCCTGGCTTGCTAGAAAGACCAACTCACAATCAAGCCACCAGCGTGGAAAGCTCACCTATCCAAAACAGTCCATGGAAAGAGACCAGTCTGGATAAACCCTATGAGAAGCCCAAGAAAACTTCTGAGCCCAGCAGTGTGCCAAGGTGAAGAGAGTTCACTTGTTCTTCTATTCTTGCCTTTGCTATAGGACAGTTTTGACTGATCTTTTAAGTCTGAGTTGAAACCTTCATATGCAAACTATAGCCTTCAGGCAAGCAATTTGATAGCAAGTATAGCACAGTCAGCTGTTACCCACAAAGTGTATTGCCTAGAAGCCAGTGGATCAAACATCCATTCATGAACTCTTAGCAATCATATCTGACAATATTATGTACTTTAAAAAGGTGTTATAAGAATAATTAAAATAAGGTCTTTGTGAAGCTTTCAGCACTTAAGAAAAAGTCTATAATAATATTTATTAGAGTCGAACATTAGGAAGAACTTCTTTATTGTAGGAGAAGTTCAACAGTAGAGCAGTCTGCTTTGGAGGGTGGTGGAGTCTCCATCTATTTAAGCAGAAGTTGGATGGCCATCTTTTAGAGATGTTGCAATATGTGTATTTCTGCATGGCAGGGAGTTGGCCCAGATACCTCTAAGATTCTATGATACTATGATAGAAACAGAACTTGTTTTCAGGATTCATTTTGAAATCTCACCTGTAGGAAAAATCACTGAAACAATGAAGGGTGGGTCACAGAGTAGGTGGTACTCTGGTCCTTTTGTATGGGAAGAAGTAGATTGCTTTTGGGGTCAGTTTATGCATATGCATTGTAAGTATTCAAGATAAACCTGAATCTTACTGTCTCCATGAAATTCTGTGTGAGATCAAGTTTTTAAAGTTTTTGAGGAATTGGCTTCATTTGTAATGCCACTATTTATTTTACCCATCTACCATTGTAAAGACGGTGTCCTCCGGTTGTTTTCCTGCTTTATTCTAGTTGTTTTACATTTCTTTAACTAATTCCTAAGTGTGGTAATACTGAAAGGCAGCATATAAGTTTGTTAGATAAAATAAAATGTAAAATATATACATATCTTTGCATTAAGGAAGATGCAAATGCAGAAAAGCAATGTAGTGGCCTATTGACAACTACTGACCTAGACACAGCAGTTTCAGCTAAACAGTTAACTATACCAGAACAGCTGACTTTGCAGATATGCTTAGGTGTATGGCCCTCATAGATCTGCTGGCAAGGAAAAGTGAAAACAACTGGAAGTCAGAGAAATAGACTACTCTCTAATTTGTCATTTCATTGGGGTTTTTTGCAGCAGTCCAGTTGTGGTGGCACAACCTGCACCCAGTCCTGCTGCTCAGAGGAGAACTGAGGTTTCTTCCTGCAACGTTGTTCCTCCTCCTAGGAAGCTGGACGGAAGGAGGCAGGCTGGTTCCAGTGCTCCACCAACACCAGAATTGCTAGGAAGAAGAGGGCAAGCTCAGCTGATAAGGTACTAAGTGATACTCTATGCAAAAAGGTACTGAGCAATTTGCCCTTGTAACCTGACTTTGAATCTGGAGCCTGAACAGATACATTAATGTGATGCTGCAGCACAAAATTGTGTGCATGCCACAGTGGCATTTCACAAGTGCAGAATTTTGGACAGAGCATAACATTCAGCACTGTGATAGCCGTGGAAGAGCGTGAGCAATGTTGGAGACATGTCAGAAGCTACAGGAGGGGCAAATATTAATACATAGTTATTAAAATATAAACACATGATGCAAAGTAGGTATATAGTGTACCATTCTGGGTGTTTTCCTTTGTCTTTTATAACTTGATGTATTAGTTTGGTACTTTTTGGAAAAATGATGCCATAACTTTTCGGGAAACGGAAATCTCTATAACCTTTTGGAAAATGGCATTCAGAATCATTCGAGAAAATCAGGAATCTCCCAGAGAAGAGTTAAAAACTCGCCTGAATCAACCTTCTTCTTCATGGTAAATATTCTTGCAAAGGAATTAGGATTCTTGGCTGTTAAACTGATATACTGTACCTAGTTATCTCTTTGAACTATTAGGGACAAAGATATGCTAATGCATAAAAACATATATATAGCAGAGTTTCAGAAGTGATCGGCCACTTCCTGGCAACATTTCCCCAAATCATTCTCTCAGGTAAGCAGTACTTATGAAACTAGATAGATGATGAACTGTGTCACAGTCAGTTACATTTTGTACAAGAATGTTTTAGTGGCTGAGCAAAGACTAGAACAGGATCAGTGGCAGATTTTCTGATGAAATATGCAGTACTTTGTATTTGCCATACCAATACAAAATTATGATTTGGGGCACTGAACAACAGGGGAAGTCCTCATTTACTTTTTCTCTCTCTGTTCATTTACAGCCTTTTAATGTCAAAACCTTGGAAATAATTGTTATTTAAAAAAAATAACAGTCCCAGGAATGCAAAATGTATGAGAAAATTTGGGGGAGCCCCCTTACCAAGCCCATGACCACTTTGGCTGGAGGAATCTGAGAACTGTTGGCTAAGAGAAAAGTTTTTCCAAGCTGATTTTTAGCTTTTTTTAGCTTCACATGTGATATTGTTACTTATTAATTTCTTCCTGCTTCATATTTTAAATTTCCAGCTATGTTGTTGTTGTTGCTGTTGTCATGTGCCTGCAAGTCATTTCTGACTGATGATAACCCTAATCTGACCCTGTTATTAGCAAGATTTGTTCTATGGGGGGTTGCTATAGCCTCCTTCTGAGGCTGAGAGAATGTGACTTGCCCTAAGCCACCCTGTGGACTTTTTATGGCTGATCATGCATTCAAACCCTGGTCACCAGAATCATATTCTAATGGTCAAACCGCTACATGATTCAGTTTTGTTCTGTTCATAATGCTACTAGATTTTGCTTAATCAGAGTTTTGGCCTATTGACTCCACAAAAAAGAATTTTTTAAAAAAACCCAAAAGTTTAAGTGCACTTGTTATCATCTTGTGCTTCAAATAAAGGACCAGATCTTGTTGTTTTTGAAGTAAGTAGAATAGTAAAAGGTAAAGGTTTTCCCCTGACCTTAAGTCTAGTCGTGTCCGGCTCTGGGGATTGGCGCTCATCTCCATTTCTAAGCTGAAGAGCCGGTGTTGTCCATAGACATCTCCTAGGTCATGTGGCTGGCATGACTGCATGGAGCGCCGTTACCTGCCGGAGCGGTACCTATCTACTCACATTTGCATGTTTTTGAACTGCTAGGTTGGCAGAAGCTGGGGCTAACAGTGGGAGCTCACGCTGCTTCCCAGATTCAAACCTGCAACCTTTCAGTCAGCAAGTTCAGCAGCTCAGCGCTTTAACCCACTATGCCACCAGGGGCTCCTAATTGGCATAAATAAATTCATTGCACAATTTGAAAACCACACCTAATATCTGTTTTCCTCTTCACTGATTATGTTAAACTACCCAAGATTTGGGGTATAATGGGATGATGTACACAAGAACAAGAATTGCTGACATTTAGAGTTCTAACTATATCCTTCTGGCTACAGAGTATCTTCATCCCGGGATGGTTTGGAGCCCCACAGAAGAAGTGCATTGCCAAGGCGACGCCCCACCTACTACACTGTCACTGTCCCTGAATACTGCTTTTCTACACCTAAACCCAATCCAGCCATCAAACCAACCTTTCACTCTGCCTCAGAAGACAGCAATTCAGATGTTTCCAGCATCTCTTATACCACGTCTGCAGGGAGCAGCAGTCCTGACATCTCCTTCTTGAAGCCGGTGTCTTCAGTGCCCATGGAGGAACCCTTCCAAAGCCAGACCAGCAGGGGACAAGAAGCAGAATACCACTGTCAGTGTCCACAGAAGCTGTTGTCATCTTCAGGTTACTTCCCTGCTGCAGAGTATGTAGCTGATGGTCACCTTCCTGCTGGGATGGAGTTCTGTCAAGGTCGGCCACCTTTTCTGTCTGCTAGCTCTGCCCACTTGGCCTTCAAGGAAGAAGTGGTGCCGGTCAGATTCCACAGATCCATTGTTTCCCACAGCCGGGTGGTACGCACACCCTCACTGAAGGACTGCCCTCCAATAGGCCCTCGGGCCCTCTCCAAGTCAGTGGTAACAGAAGAGCTAAAATCATGGCATGAACGGACCCGGTTGCGCAATGCACGACCACATTCACTGGACAGGCAAGGGGCTATCCGCATGCGCAGTGGGCCAGGCAGAGAGGTGCACCTTTCATCTTCCAGAGGACGGCAAGTTCAGGTAAGATCTAATTTGCAGAAAGGAGAACCCGGATTCCCCATTACTCTTTGTTCACGGCCCTATAATTCCCTTAATAGACCAGCTACTGTTATCTAAGAATGCAAGCTAATGTGTTAGCGGCAAAGATGTTAACCTTTTCTTGTAAACCAAGAGAGGGCAACTATAAACCAAGAGTGAAATTAGCAGACATTGGCTGGCATCCTGTTCATTAGTCCCAGCTAGTAGATTCATTCAATCCGTTGTTGAATTGTGAGTCAATATAAATTTCAGTTATACAGTACTTCTGTTCTAGGCAGAACTTAATGGCAGGATTTCATCAGTAAAGCCCAGCATCCTTCAACAATGGTTTTGGTGAACATAAATGATGAGAAGTGAACATGAATGAGGTGACCATGTTATGAGCAAATGAACGTGTGAATCCCTTAAAAGTGTTTCTCAACCTGGGGGGTCAGTACCCCTGGGAAGGGGGTCTCAAGGGGGTGCCAGAGGGGTTGCCAAAGACCATCAGAAAACACAGCATTTTCTGTTGGTCAGGGGGGTTCTGTGTGACACATTTGGCCCAATTCTATCGTTGGTGGGGTTCAGAATGCTCTTTAATTGTAGGTGAACTATAAATCCCAGCAGTTACAATGGCCAAATGTCAAACTCCACCAGTGTTCACATTTGAGCATATATAGAGTGTTCATGCCAAGTGAACTACAACTTGGTGTAGTTGGTGAAGTTCAGAATTCTCTTTGATTGTAGGTGAACTGAAATCCCAGTAACTACAACTCCCAAATAACAAGATCAATCCCCCCCAACCCCACCAGTATTCAAATTTGGGTGTATTGGGTATTTAGAATAATAGAATCATTGGGTTGGAAGGGACCTCCTGGGCCGTCCAGTCCAACCCCCTGCCAAGAAGCAGGACAATCGCATTCAAAGCACCCCCCGACAGATGGCCATCCATTTGTCCAAATTTCATCCAATGAGTGAAAATACATCCTGCATATCAGGTATTTACATTACGATTCAGAACAGTAGCAAAATTACAGTGATGAAGTAGTAACGAAAATAATTTTATGGTTGTGGGTCACCACAGCATGAAGAACTGTATTAAGGGGTTGTGGCATTAGGAAGGTTGAGAAACACTGCCTTAAAAGTAGTGTATAGTGTCTGAGTGCATTTTTCATGGTGGATGAAGGCTATGGATTGAGTTTTATGACTATTAACAACAGAACTGTAAAAGCAAACCATAGTGTGTTGTTGAATTCAAGAAATAGTGCTCTCAACTTGAATGAGTTTTATTTGTCCTTACTGATGCCACCACATAGCTACATTTCAATTATTGTGTGATAACACCGCTGTTTCTAGGAAGATAATATCTAAGTGAAATTAAAAATGAGCAAGAAGTGCCTGTCCTTGCAGTTCAATTATGAACCGAATTCAGCCAACCAATCTATTTCCTCCTCCAAAGCATATAATAGCTCCAATTCAGACCACATTGCTCTCCTCATGACATAATTGAAGCATAATAGAATCAGATTATAATCTTCCCTGTAATGCTGAATCCCCACTTTTCCATTTTCATTTAACTAAGCTGGATGTGGCATCACATCCAGCTTGTTGGAAATCCCCCAGCCCCATTCTCCCCTAAGGCAACAGGAGGTATCTCACTACTTGTTCACTGGTGCCTTCTGGACTAGTGCAGAAGCTGTACCACCAGTGCCAGGGTCCTCTGGGCATTGGCCTTGACCTGACTTTGAGCAGCTAAAGTGGAAGGCATTCAATGAGAACGTATTTTGGCATTGCTGCCAGGAAAAATAAAGAGGGAAGACAGGAAGGTGGCCAGAGTAATTCAGAAGGTCTCATATTGAAAGTGAGCAGTACAAATTGCTCAGGTTTGCATTCCAAACTTATGATTGAGGCCTATTCATGCAATCATTACTACAAAAGCAGGGCCAGAGTCCTTTTATTAACCAGGGGTTAAACAAGTATAAGTCCTTTTTTGGTTGTTGCAAAATAATGTATGGAATGTATACTCTTGCACAACTCACCCCCAGAAGGCACATTGCAGTAATGCAGCTGAGGAAAGAGAACTGGTAGTATGTTCCCAGATTGAAATCCTGGAGGACTCCCCACCACAGAACTACCTAGGCATCTACTATCCTTCCAGGCCAGTAAACGGCTGTTGTAGGGTGCTCCAATGATTGAAACCTGTCTTTGGAAGCATGGGCAGAGCATTAGAAATGAATTGTGTAATGGGTGATTCTGCCCATTGAAGAAAACAGCCAGGACATTAGCTTGAGGGAAGTTGCAAACAATATGTGTTATTGTTTGAAGGAAAGAAGTACCTTTCAGAGCCCCTTGGGGGCAAACACTTGACACAATTTAGGGCTGATTATTATATCTTAATCCCTATGTTAATTTTTCTCAAAAGGCATTGCTGTGAGGGAGTGAGTTTAGATAGAAATATTGTGAGAGTTGCTCCTGACACACGCACACAAAGCTGTTGGGTGCTTCAAATTTCTAAATTTCTTATGTGGATCAGTAATTGAAAATTGCTTGAGCATTCAAAATTATTCATGAATTATAAATGTCTGGATCAAGGCCTAACAAGTTGCTTAATATCTGTGATAATGAGAGATTAATTTATGTTCTCTAATCATATAGTTAATATATAACACCTAAATTTTGTCTACTGGACGTCTTCTGAATTTCCTTCTCAGCAAAATCCAGCCATCCACCAATTTCTGAGCCTCTATTTATATGCTTCTTGGAGATGTTGTTAGATTTTTTGATGGTTATTGTTTTGAGGGCTAGTTACAAATTTTGCACACTATCCTTTTCACATTTCTTGGGAAATATACTCAATGACATGTGTTCTACATGATATACATCCTGGTTTGTCTTTATGAATTATGTCTTCCAGATGTATGAAACTGTTGCACAATGGAATATACTGTAGCTCTTTCCCTTCCTTGGGCATCTCCCTAGCCTGAGGCACTGGGAAGAGGCCCAACCATGCAAGTGAGAGCTTGCCTTTTGGGTTCCTCCCGTTCTGTTCAGTGCTTGCCTCCACTCTCACAGACAAGAGCAATGAAATTTTAATCTTGCAAGGATAGACCCCTTCCAGAACTCTGCACAAACAGGAAACAGATTCCTGGACTAAACATTTGTGTGCCTTTGATCACTCAATCCACTTTCATTGGAACTCAGAAGTTGCCCAACCATCAGATCAAGCAACATGATTATCTAAACCTGTGGCAAGGTGATGGTTAATGCTAAAATTCCAATATTGAGGCATATGAGGTTTTTTTTAGTGTCTTGACTTTGAGAGCCTTGGTGCTCAGAGTTTCAGTTGAAAGACTTGTCTGGTTTCAAACCTACTTTGCATGATGAATGGAAGCATATGGTTTGGATTCTGTAAAATTCCTTTATATCTAGCAATAACTGTGCACAATGTTGTTAACATTAAACAATTAAAAAATAAAACCATATTAAAACATACATAATGAAGGCACACATGCACACCAGCATGATTAGCAATACCCAGCACATTGAATAAAATGGCTTTATACAGGAAACAATAAGGCAGTGCTTCTCAATCTTCCTAATGCCACAACCCCTTAATACAGTTCCTCATGTTGTGGTGACCCCCAACCATAACATTATTTTTGTTGCTACTTCACAACTGCAATGTTGCTACTATTATGAATTGTAATGTAATATCTGATATGTAGGATGTATTTTTATTCACTGGACCAAATTTGGCACAAATACCCAATAAACCCAAATGTGAATACAGGTGGGGTTGGGAGGGATTGATTTTGTCATTTGGGAGTTGTAGTTGCTGGGATTTATAGTTCACCTACAACCAAAGAGCATTCTGAACTTCACTACCAATTGAATTGAACCAAACTTGGCACACAGAACTCCCATGACCAACAGAAAATATTTGGTGGGCACTGACCTTGAGTTTTGGAGTTGTAGTTCACCTACATCCAGAGAGCACTGTGAACTCAAACAATGTTGGATCTGGACCAGACTTGGCAGGAATACTCAATGTGACCAAATGTAAACACTGGTGGAGTTAGGGGGATATAGACCTTGATATTTGGGAGTTGTAGTTGTGGAACTTATAGTTCACCCACAACTAATTCTGAACCCCACCAATGATAGAATTGGGCCAAACAAAACCCCCATGACCAAAAGAAAATACTGTGTTTTCTGATGGTCTTTGACGACCCCTCTGACACCCCCTCACAACCCCCAGGTTGAAAAACACTGCTATAAGGATTCTTATTGTTCTGATCTAGTATGATTGTCAAATGAAGTAGAATTGAGTCTACTAATGACACATTGGTCTTCCATGAGGGTTTTAAAGTACAGTAGAGTCTCGCTTATCCAACCTTCACTCATCTAACGTTCTGTATTATCCAACACAGTCTGCCTCCCGCCCAGATCCACAACTGTTTCAATACATTGCGATGTTTTGGTGCTACATTTGTAAATACAGTAATTACTACATAACATTTCTGTGTAATGAACTACTTTTTCTGTTCATTTGTTGTAAAACATGATGTTTTGGTGCTTAATTTGTAAAATCATAACATAATTTGACATTTAATAGGCTTTTCCTTAATCCCTCCTTATTATCCAACAATTTTGCTTATCCAACGTTCTGCCAGCCCATTTATGTTGGCTAAGCGAGACTCTACTATATCTGGTAGTAAAAGATGTAATACAGCAACTCTTCTAGAACAAGTAGTTTAAATTCTTGCTTTGTAGCTCCTGGGCCTTTGGGTCTCATGCACATGAGAATCAATACTTGAGATTTCGAGCTCATTTGTGAAACAATTCAGATCTAGTTTTAGGGAGGGGAGAGGCAAGTAATTATATCCTTAAATGCCAATACTGATGTAAGAACTGTCTTGTCTCTGGCAGAATATTTCCCTACTCTTGCTAAAACCCAAGGGTTTTCAATCCGAGTTGTCCGATTCTGTGCTGCTGTGTTCAGTGAGTTAAATTTTTCTATGCATTGTGTAAGTTCTGAATATTTGGATGCTGCCAGACACTCAGCTTTTTAAAGTGAATTCCTTCAGGATATTATTATTAATTGAACACTATTGAATATGAGGAATAGAAGAGAAACTATTTTCCCCCTTGACTTAATTATAAGAGTGGAACTGATTTTATAAGTAGAGCAAAACAAATCCCATTTTCCTGACACAAGAGAGGCGAGAAGTGACTGCAACCCGTAGCATATGTTTTAATATTTTCTTAATGAGGAAAAATATCTTTAGTGGTGATGGAGTTTTTCCTGGTGGACACTTCTATTAACATTTTTCTTTTGGATTTTGCAGGTGCCCCGTATCCATATCCTGAAACGCTCTCCAGAAGGAGCCCCTGTGCAAGTCTATGTGCCAGAAAATGGTGAAATCATTACTCAGGTCTGAATCTACCCACCTTGCAGAAGTTGGCATTGTCAGCAGACTGACCTTCTAGAATACAGACTTGGATCAAGCATAATCTTGATTCTACCAGTTTTGCTATATGAGAGAACATTAAACTCCCAGAAGCCTGCAGAAGAAAGTATACTTCAGGATTTTTCTTTGCTCTTATGGTCATCTGACATAATGGATTTACCGTTATGGATTTACCACCCAATAATTGGGTTTCTTTGTGCTGTGTAGATTGCAAAGGACACAGAGGACTTCCAGCACAAATTAGTGTTTGCCTACATACCTATTTATTCATTTCTGTCTGTGCTGGAGACATCTGGGGTGCCTGTAGGTTATGAAAACAAGATTTAATCTAAAGAGCCATTCATAGCTTCTAAGGGAAGAACCATCCTGAGTGTACTTTATCTTATACTCCACTGTTCTACCTTGCTGTGGAGGCTGCTATAGATTTTTTTTTGTCTCTTTGGTTTTATGTATGAATTGCAAATTCTGTATTTTCATTTGAATAGAGAATTGTACTCAAAAGGAAACTCATTTTCATGGGTGAAAACATAGTACGTCACTGTTTTTGTAGGTATTTAACCATCATCAATTTATACAGTGGAGGCATCTCTTTTTCCTTTTTTTGCCACAAGATTAGGTCTAGTCATAGTTTCTACTTACTGACCAAACTAGGTAAAGATAAAGGTTTCCCCTTGACATTCAGTCTAGTTGAGTTGACTCTGGGTGGTGGTGCTCATCTCCATTTCTAAGCCGAAGAGCAGGCATTACCTGTAGACGCCTCCTAGGTGATGTGGCCAGCATGACTGCATGGCGCACCGTTACCTTCCCATTGAAGCGGTAGCTATTGATATACTCACATTTGCATGTTTTCAAACTGCTAGTTTGGTAGAAGCTGGGGCTAACAATGGGACCTCACTTCGCTCTGCGGATACAAACCACCAACCTTTTGGTCAGCAAGTTCAGCAGCTCAGTGGTTTAACCTGCTGCACCACTGTGGCCTTCAACTAGAATTGCAAATCAGTAGGGCGGGCAATGAATGTACAATAAGACAGCTAGTATTGTCCTAAACTCTGGTGCAAAATTATTGGACATACCATTCACAGAAAGCACCTGAACATTACAAAGCATGTGTGTCTGTATGTCTTTGATTTATGGCAACCCCAATACATTTTATAGGGTTTTCTTAGGCAAGGAATACTTAGAAATGGTTTTGCTAGTTCCTTCTTCTGAAACACATCCTACAGCACATACTATTTGTTGACACTCTTCCATGCAAATACTAACCAGGGTCGACCCTATTTAGTTTTAAAACATTTCTTTTGATTCAGAAAGTTTGAGATATTGCTACCACCTATGGATTAGTTCAAGTTCCCAGTTTTAATAGCTCGAAAGATTGCTTAAGAAAGTCTCAGTGAAGGTATGCTTAGCAAGAATATGTGTTATTCCACCCCTTTGCCTTTTGCAGACCCTTGCTTTAGCTTCCTACTGCATATTACATGAACATTTCCAGGCAACTCATTCTACATACTTCTTGTGTTTTTTCTGTAGTAAAACTAGGGATGCCAAACCACTAATAATCAGACATGATGAGTAAAGGATGTAGTATCTGCAGGACTCATTGTCAATTAACCAAGTTGTGCAACATTTTTCTCTGAAGTGCCTGTCTCTGTAATGGCCGTCCCTGACTTGGCAGTAAACAGTGTTAAATGTATTTGGACACTTTATTTTGAATAGAATACACCATTTAAATTTCATGTTTTCCTTGACATGTCAGCATTCATTTTTGTTTTGGAGACAGTCGATGTACGATTTGAGCCCCCAAAACATGCTCTATTTTAGGTACGGATGTACTATTCACTTTTAAAGAAGACTTTGGATCGCATGCTACTTAATTCTGCTTAATCTATTTGTTGATGGCTTTGTTTGCTATTTTCTACTGGACTGGAGTCATTTTCTAAAACCCACATCAAAAAAAAGTTCATTGCTTTTGTCTATACTATTTGGAGAACCTTTTGTTTCTTATTTTAAAAAACACAACAATTTTCTTAAATTTATTTATTAATAGGAGAAACAAACACGCTCATTGGAAAAACCATGTACATCCAGAACCTTAAATAACTTACACTATTTACACAGAGGTATAAAATATTACACACCTTATCCTTTCATACATACGCACGCACACACATACAAAAGACCATTATGCCAGATGACACAGCTCCTCACAGAATCCCCAAACAAGCACCAGCTTTTTGTTAAAAACACACTAAAACCCCAAAACACAACCCTTTCAGGTCAAGAAAAGGCACATGCTTTTTGAAGCAAAGTCTTGCAGACAGGGACCGACTGGTGGAGCAAACAGCCACGTCTTAGGTTATTTATGTGCATAGGGACCTTCCCTGCAGTGCCTCTTCATGGGATGCAGGGAAATTGTACTTTATCACCAGGAGGCCTCTCCTAATTGAAAAGTTGTGCCATTGGGACCCCTATGTTAGTATGGCTTAAATCTCCCAGTGCTGCTGGACAAACTTAAGAAGATTATGCAAAGCCACCTTTGAGTCTTATTACAGTGTCCCATTGATGAACATCAATAGGCCACTAGAAACAGATGAGATTTTCAGCTTTTGTTATTTTTAATCCTTTCCACTATGTGCTTCAAGTACTATCCCCAGGAGGGCAGACTCTCCTTAACAAATTCCAATAAAATGCTTCCACCAGATTGCACCCGATTTCAGATTCTAGAGATTTGCACTTTCTGCCACATCCATGGGAACTGGAGAGAAAGAGAAAATGAGAAAATGTGGCTGGGGTTTCTTCAGTATGAGGAAATATAATCCCATTACCTAATGGCTAAGAATAGCATTAAGGCACATGGGACTATATGGCAATATGGTCAATAATTTAACAGATGAGAAGAGTGCCCTCTGGCAGACTGATTCAGTTATATCAAGTATTATTTTATAGGACATTTCATATTATTTGTTCTACACAAACCTCCTACGAAAATATAGGAAGGCTTCAGGTGAAATATGTGCAGCTAATTCACAATCTATTCCTAATTTTTTGCAGGCAAAAAAACATTCACAGGTGACTACAAGCTTCCCTAAATACTAGCCAAGTTAGCCTAGGTAGCTATGTGAGGGGAATGGGGATTGTGCCAATTTCGTTGCCAATGGAAGATGGTATCTCTTCCAAGATTTAAACAACCGGGTCCTCTCCTATCTCTGTCCAGAATGACAATTCAAAAGACTAAAAAAGACAACATGATTCAATAAATATCAGGCTTAACATTTATGAACAGCTTATTCAAATGGTGCAGATGGCAAAAATACAACAAGCCTTGAACCTAGCTTGCCAGCTGTGAAGACGAAGCAGAGAGCCCAGCTGTTCTCAACATGCCTTCATTTTGCTGTTTGAACTCTTAAACTCAGAAACCAGGGCCAGTGATAATGTGCGTTCCCCAGATCAATTCAAGTTTCATTGACATTAAACACAAACAAAACTCCAAATACCTTAGACCATGAGGTAGGTTAACTCAAAACAAGTCCTCACCTTCTTGAAAGCATTCACTCGCACACAACACCCTCCTTCCTGCTACCCCCCCTCCCCCAAATAAAGCACAAGACAATATGTAGAACCTCTTGAATACTCATAGAAAATTACAGTACAACTTCCTACTCCAATGGAAGAAACCACAGCTTCACCACATAGAAGTGGGCTCTTCACAACGCCTGGAGGTGGACAAAGTTCATAGCCAGCCCAGCTTATTCAAACAGATGCTTCTTTCAAACCAGGGCAGGGACAATGCTGTCAAAGAGCCTGAAGCATCTGGGAGGCAAGGTTCCTTCAGTCTGATTGTCCACATTTGACTACCAGTGTGCTGCTTTTCCCAAGTCTGCTTGGCCATGAGCTGCGATGAGACTTCAAGTATGAAACATATTACCATCCAAGTGAGGGAAAGGAGAACCCGATAAACTCCCCAATGAGATTCGGGCTGCTTAGTATGTTTGAAACAGGTGAGAGCAGCTGCTTCTCTCTTACACCACGTGCCGATTGGTAAACTCAAGTAGGTTGACAAATGTCCAGTGAAATTCAAGCTGAGTGAATGAAGCATAGAGAATCAAACCTCTCCTGTGTATTTTTCTTGTGATGGCGACAGTATAAATATGAAGGAGCAGTATCTCTATCGTCCAAACAGGTGTAAACAAAAAAAAAAGTGGTGGGTTAATGAGATTAAGGACCTAGGGTCATTTTCTTCAAGGGAAGGTGTTGCCACTCTTGTCACTGTCAAAAAGTTCAAGTGCCTTACCCTGTTTGAAGGCTGAGGGGGAAACTCACCACCATCATGACACACACATATTTCTGCTGCCAGACAAAAATGTCTTTTCTCTGAGTGTAGAGAGTCTTTTTTCTCTCCCATTTTTGTGACCAGGAGTGAGGAAAGTAAACAGTTCTACAATCTAAAATGATTTTGGATTTGCCAGGCCACTTGAGAATTTTTTTACAGTGAGAATCCAAAGCATATTCCAAAAGACTGACACCCCCCCCCCCCTTTGTTGTTTTGTTTTGCATATCCAGAGTAATGGGGAAAATATCCTATGTTATAATTTCTGGTTTGAGGCTGAAATCCCCTAACTAAATTTCCAATTTAAAGAAATTCTAATTCCATAGAAGATAATGCGCCAATGTTATAGTTTCATTGAAACTATAGATTTGCACAATTTTAACATGAAAAAGGCAGCATGACAACTACCTAGGTATCTCAAAATAAAAACACTTTGACCCATTCTACTTTTGGAAGGGAAATGGATAAAAAGTACGCATGCGCTTAAATCAATGTAACTCTTTTTCACATCACTTCTTCCCATCCTTCTCCCATTTAAAAATAATAATTGGGTGAACGATCTAAAACAAGAAATATTCTCTAAAATCTGCCAATTAGCTCTGCAAGCTTTTGGCACATGTAGATTTCCTTTTGTCAGTTTCACTGTTAAACCATAAAGGCTTATGCCGGGGACAGGCAGCTCCATAATCATACAGGAGATTGCAGATACAGCTCCCTAAGGTATTAGGGAGGTGGGTGGGTGGGGGGGGGGGAATCTCTCATCTTTTTCTTTTAACAAAACTGTGGCCTACAAACTGAAAAAATCATCCGTTTTCAGAGCTCAACACCCATCTTGACAGGGAGCTATATATATGACAAAGGAATTCCAATGACTTGAGAAACACATTCAAATGCCCCAGCTTCACCTTCTTCCCTTGCTGGCAATTTATAGTTTCACTGTATCCTTCAGTTAATATTGCAAAATCTTATCACGCATGATAATGGTAAAGGAAAAGGGATCCCCTCATACCATTCAACCAAAACACTTGCTGGTATATATAATACCTAAAAACCAGGCTGCCATCTGTTCATGAAGCTTTGAGCATGGTAGATTCCAATGGAAAGCTAAATACTACATCTTAGCCCCAGAAAGCTAAGTTCAGTAAGAACACCACATTTGCCTTCTCGCAATCCCTACTGTGGTCCATCACGTCTACTTTTCCCCCAGATTCTAGGTGTGGTTCTTCAGTAGCTTCCTTGCACTCCAGAGCTTCACTGTCAAATCACTGGGAAACAAAGAGGAAAAGGGTGAGAATATGAAGCCTCTAAAGTCAAAAGAGATGACAAAGGGATAAGGCTAAGCACTTGTAAAAGGCATGCTTATGTGGCCACATTCATTCTGAAGCATAAAGCTGCAGAAAAATTGCCATTGGGGACCACCAATCTGGTTCTTAATCCATTATGGTTTCCTGTTCCAAATTCCTCAATAATTGCATTTGCCTCCTTCCTTCTATTTATTTATTTTTTTGCTGCAAAGTGCACCACTGGAGGCAAAGAATAGCTGAGGAGATGGTGGCAGGAACACTGGCATGTCTCTTGGCAATCCAAGGCAAGATTCCTGAGCAGCTGCTTTCAGCTTCAAACTAAAATGGGCCAGCTTAGGCATGCGTTCTTAAAAGTGAGTTTTACAAGACATGCCATTTAATAAGGCTGTGACATCATCTTATTTTAGTGTGTCCAGAAACAGTAATAATAACTGTCATTTTTTTTGTCTTTTTAGAGTTCCCAAAGGCACTAAGGTTCCCCTGTTTATAATAATATCGAGAGTTTCAATATCTTTGCTATTGTAGAATAAGGCTGCCAATGAGGGTGGCTTATAGTGTCATCACATAAAATCATGTGCCCCTTTTAATGGATCCCAAGTGACCCTTATATATTGAACCTGAACCAGTTTTATTGGAAGCAAGGTTCATTTATTTCACAGACTGGGACAGAGTGCTAAGTGAAGCATGCAGCTTTAGCAGTGTGACTGTGATGGCAAATAAGGAAGCTTAGTGAGATAGGACTTTAATGCATATTTTAGAGGTGGACTAGTAGGGAGTCAAGTCTCCCATGGAAAACACCTTCACATGCTGCCCTAAAAGGAAAGAAAAGCAAGTAATCATTGCATACCGTTAGGAAGTAGCTGAGATCAGCTCGCAGAGAGAGGGGCAGGGTAGAGAAAGAAATGGGGGAGAGAGAACAGAGTAAGAAAAAGTAAGCAGAAGAGAAGACAGGAGGAAGGTCAAGGCAGACTGGTAGCACGGCCCTTGATGGCAAGGACACGTCGTGGAAGGCAGGGGGTGAGCCCAGGCACGTAATTCCATAACTTTACCCGGCAGTCACTGCGGCACAGAGAAAGAGACGGAGAGAGAGAAAAAGAGAAAGACA